TTTAATTTCTTAAAAAATATTAAAAAACAATAGTTATTATAAAATAGAAAGAATAGTAATTAATTTATTACTTTTTTGTTTCAAAATAATTATTTTTTGAAAAATTATTTAGGGACATCCTTTTTGTATTGTATTTTTGTATAACATTACATATTATTTAAATAATTGATTTATTTTATTCATTTAAAACTTATAATATTAGATATATCCACTCATTTAATGATATATAAAATTTATATAAAAAAATTATATATCCACTTATTTAACGATATATAAAAATTATATAAAAAATGATACAAAAAAATTATGCATATATCACAACAATTAATGTTTTTAACTCAAAATTTGCCCTAACAAGTAATTGTCATTTATTATTTTTTTAAGGTATATAAATACTGTATATGTTTTTCTACTTCAATCTTATTATTGTCAATTAATTTTAATTATCATCTTGTCACCAAATTGTTATAAAGTGGGTTAATGTTTTGATTATTAAAGATAATATAGATAAAAACATAAATTAATAACATTATTTGTAGATAATTAAAGTTAATTAGGTGGCTGTTAACGCAGCCAACCTCCCAAGTCTTCTGCGCTATGAACTTCTTGTTGAATTAACCTGTAAAGCCTTGAGGGTTGGTCCTGAGGTAAACACTCCAATACTTAAGTTAGCAATATTCTGAACTACTCTCAATGGGATCTTGAAAGAGTTCTTTTTCTAGCTTTTCATCATACCTTCTTTGAACTATGCATGGACGTATTTATACATCTTGGTCAGGCATCCACGGGGCTTTCTTAATCATCATTATCGTGACATGATGTGTCTAACGGGGTAAGTGTCTTTAGTGGACGTAATGTGCCTTAATGGAACAACTGCATTAAATGAGCGTGGTGTATTCTAACAAAGTAGGTCTTTCACAGATGGAGGGTTAGGTGAGGATTGATGATCAAGTACAAGCATCTTTATCGTAATATCCGTGGAACTGCGATACTATAGATAGGGTACTGAGTTCTGCTCTATTCAGTTGATTGAGTTGAGCTCTGTCCTGTTCACTGAGTCGAGCTCTGCAAGGTACTAAGTTCTGCTCTGTTCAGTTGATTGAGCCGAGCTCTGTCCTGTTCATTGAGTCGAGCTCTGTCCTGCCCTTACAGTGGCGCTACATTATAGGTACAAGGAGGTAGACTTAACTAAAATGAAACCAATAAACTGCCATGAATTAACTCGGTTTCTTCCACAAAGATTTAAAAAATAAAGAAAAAGAAGAAGAAAAGAAAACGTAATCTGAGCTTCTTTCCTGTTAGCATTTCACATGCCTGTAAAATGTGGAAACAGTTTCTTCCTCTCTAACCCCATGCTTCCCATGTTGTAGCAGAGAGATTATCCATGCATTTTAACAAGGATGAAACAAGATATTAAGAATGCAATAAATATTATATTTAAAAGTGGATTGGCAAATGTGCAAAATTACTTTCATGATTTCAGATATGATCAAATCTTTGTCTAAGCACGTGACTGCTCATTGTTAGTGGCCACTGCCTGCCCGCTGCCCCATTTGTGATTTATCACGAGGGTGGATAAGAGGATATCCATCGGTGATGGTGAACCCATTTCCCAAGAAGGAGGTCCAGGGGAAATCTTATGTTATGTCTCTCGTTCGTCATCCCATGAGGTGAGACCTGGCAAACAGATTGGATTGGATGGTTTTAGATTGGGCATCTCGGATCTCAAGTTATTAGGTCATTTTGGGTGTTGAGCTAAGGAAGTTGAT